ATGCTGATTCATGGCAATATTGAAGATTGCATCTCCGGTGAAGGCTGAAAGAGACAGACAGTTTTGCTTGTGTTGATGGTGGGCCTGAATTTGGCCACTGTCGAAGCCAGAGCACTGGTAATGTGGTGCAACTCATCCGCGCTGTGTGCAAACAATGCGCAGTCGTCAGCAGACTGCAACATACGGATAGTTGTCTCACAGAGTAGAGTTCTAGCAACGAAACGACGGATGTTCAGCAACCCACCATCAATACGGTGCTCCACATAAACACCGTATGCACAAGCCGCATCAAAAGCACAGGACAACATTGCATGAAGATATATATTAAACAGGGCAGGAGCTAAGACACAGCCTTGCTTCACACCAGGGACAACCGCCAGGTCTCCGAGGTTTCTCCACTCAGCTGCACCCTCGCTCGCATACCACTGTGCAGACATTCAATTAAACTTATAAACTTACGCCGGCAACCAAACTTACCCAACACCAGCCACAATGCCTTGCGGTTCACCGCAGCAAATACCTTGGTGAAATCAACAAAAAGTGAGTACAACGGTTGGTGTCGTTCTCTGCACTTCTCCTGCAACTGACGAGCCGCAAACACCATATCTATAGTGCTGCGAAAGGAACCGAATCTACATTGCTCTTCCGCTCCGTCAAATTCCACAACCTGACTGACGAGGCGGTTGAGCAGGGTTCGGGAAATCACCTTGCCCACACAACTCAGCAAGTTGATACTACGATAATTCGTGCAACATTGCTTGCTCCCTTTGCCCATGTACAGTGGTAGCACAACAACAACAACCTTCAGCTTAGCAGGCACCTCCTCCTCAATCCATACGCGTTGCACCAAGTGGTGCAGCGCAGTCACCAACGCGGGTCCGCCGTGTTTCAATACTTCAGGCGGGATCCCATCGGTACCATCGCACTTGCCGTATCGTCGCAGAGCAAATGCACTCTGCATCTCATCCAGTGTCGGCGTGTCTGCCAGGCTCGCCTTCAGATTGTGCGGCTTGAGGCCGTTCAAAGTGGGCCAGTCAATCGCTAAACGGTTGTTCAAGAGACAGTCAAAGTGATTTCGCCAGATCTGCATTATGTCTGCAGTCTATGTGCAGGTAGTGCATGAACTATCAATCAGCGTCATCAGCGGCTCCAACCTCGGTCCATACACCGCCCTCAAGGAGTCAAAGGATTCCTTGTGTTGGCGACGTTCCACGTAGCATTTCATCTGCCTTGCCTTCTCCGTCCACCATGCATTTTTAATGCCACGGAGCTCTCGGGTCATTCGTCGTCGAATTCTGCTAAATCTACGTTTCTTCCCCAAGTCACTGGGGTCTGCCGCATGTGCAGCATTCTTCTCCGACACCAATGCACCAATCGTTGCATTGTTCTCATCAAACCAATCAGGCCGCATGCAGTTTGTGCGCCCGATGGTCTTCTCGACAACAGCTGTCACCTGGTCGCGAATGTGGTGCCAAAGGTCGCCCACTGTGGCTATGCAGTCCACATCACACAGGCGTGCAGCCGTCACCTTCTCCAGCTCAATACGTTTCGCCACAGTACCGAGGGAGAAAATGTGGAATTTAAGCCGATTCACGGCGGGAGTGCAATGCATAGATTTACGAAAATATATGTGCAGTTTAGTCCGCACCAATTTGAGATCAGTGCCACAATCAGCTCCAGGCAGTACACGTGTCATGCGCACGTCACGCATATCACGGCGACGTAAGATGACAAAGTCGAGCAGGTGAGTGTGACCACTCCGTGGGTGCGTCCAAGTCGCTATATCACTCGCACTCAGTGCAAACCGAGTGTTCGTGATCGTCAGGCCGTGAGTGGCACACAATCAGAGCAGCCTGTCACCGTTCGCATTTGCTGAACCAATGCCACGCGGCTCGATAACGTCTGTCCGCACCGATGCATCACACCCAACGCGCGCATCGAAATCACCCAGCAGAAATAATCGGTCGCTCCTCGGCACAGACCATATCACTGAGGATATCTGGGGGTAGAATTGATCATGCGTGTCAACAGCATAACACCTGGTCGGACCGTGCGTGATAATAATGATAATAATAATATTGCTGATGATGATGATAATAATAATAATAATAATAATAATAGTTACCCCTTCCAAACCGCAGGCGAACAGTCATCAATCGCGTGCTGATGTCTGTTGCTTCACCCACGAGCTGGCTATGGAGGCGATCGGATATTGCAAATCCGACCCCATGTTCACGTGGTGCTGCGGCGTTGCTCGCCCAGTAGAATGTGTAGCCAGTACCTGCTTCATGCAACTTACCTTGTTCATCGAGATGGGTTTCACTGAGCGCCGCATTATCGATGTGGTAGCTCGCCACTTCCACCGTGACCAGTGCAGTGAGCCGCTCGTGGCGTTCATTCGAGTTCCGGTCCAGCAGTGTGCACACGTTCCTGCACCCGATGCTGTGTATGCGTGCAGACATACGATTGCATTGGTGGGCATTCGCATCCGAGGTGATTTGCTTGGGGGACTCTATCCGGAGCCATTGGCTCAATTGCCTGACCCATAAGGCAGTGGGGGGTTTGGATGTTTGCTTGTGGGACTCCGCCAGGAGCATTTGGCTCATTAGCCTGACCCACAAGACAGTGGGGACAAAGTAACTAATACATACATGGTTGGCGGCATTCGGTTTCGGATTTGCCTGTCACTGTGGCCAGCCACAGGACGTCTGCAACTACAGAGGGACCATGGCTGGCTTGCGCGGCACCACCCACAGCTCTAACTATACACCCCATATCCAGTGTAAACCCAAAGGAATAAGACCGGGAGGCATGTGGATGGGAGACACGTTTCATCAATGGAGCCGGCCCACACTCCTTCACAGGCAAACACAAGCACGCTGTATTTGGGAAATCAAGCGCACACAAGGCGGTGACTGGACCATAGTCCGCTCCACACTGAGTGCATGGAACCGCTCTTCGAGCCTAGCACGGCCACAAGGACCGTGCACCCCGTCCCCTCCAGCAACGACCAACTGTCTCCTGGAACCAGTATGGACGAGGTGGTGGGTAATAGACAGGTAGGTACCTTGTCAACATGCACATCAAGCGCAGCCACACCGGGGATTTCAAGCAACAGCCAATCACCTGGAACGACAAGATGAAATAATACAAATCCAATAATGCATACAGATACGGTGGCATAACTCTAAGCTAAATAAGCATATGAAGTAAGTTGGTTACCAACGAATCCGCGATAAGTAAAAAGTGTCCACAATTTACCTAAAAATATTATAAACGCAACAAAGTTATCGAAGAGAAGCGCAATTAGCGTAAGCAACGTGGCCAGTTAATAGAAGATTATTCAGGTAGGCAGAACAAACTAAATAAAGTGAGATGAAATTTATGCAGCTTAAAAAGACCTAGTTTAAGTCTAAGTTTGTTTAGCCCAACTGCGGTGAAGAAGCATCAAGAATGCAACATCAGCCTCAGCATACATACATACATCCATGCGTGACAGAAACACTTCATCATGATACCGAGAAAGTCAGTCAACTTGCAAGCGTAGGAGACGCAATGCGGTCAAGGTACCCTGTTTCAGTTTGGCGGACGACACAATACAACCTTACAAGGTGTATCACCACGTACCCAGTGGAAGATTTCTTTATCGCATATCCAATGGTCCACCAAGTACCAGTGATAGATTAAGGGAAGAGTGGTCAAACAAGACTGGCCTTCCAATTTCTTCGACATAGAGCATCCACCCCTCCGACAGACACATCCAAAGCGGTCGCATTGTTAGCCGATGGACCGATATTTTACGACCCCCCACAGATGGGATCTAACAGATGCATGCAGAAGTGTAGACAGGCACCAGAATAGCCAGTAAAACATAAGACATACGCTTCGGATGACACAATGCAACAATTTGTCAAACACAATTTGCGCGTTGGTTATGACAGTTGAGAAACCTGGTGGTGAGTCAGGTGAGAACGTACTGGATATCGAGTCGCAGGTTCGTCCCCAAACAAATGTGATCACTTGAAGTGATGCGAATGTAGCTAATTTTTCAAACGGCCAATAATGCATAACCGGTTGGACCGATGGGTCCATAAGTTAAGGAAATACCAAACTTACGTAGCGAGGGGATTCACGTGCGTGGCCCACGTGGCATTTCGATAGGTGGAAGCGATGGAGTGTGACCAAGAATAAACAACAACGGATAACCTCAGTTAGAACAAAACCTAGCAATAGCACTTGCTGTGGATGGAAGCATCCACTGCTAAACGTATGAGCACAACAGAGATTCAAACTTCCAACATCCCAGTAGCTTCATCGTCATCATATCAACACCTCAGAACTATGTGTTGTTGCTGTCCCACTTCACAAAACCACAATGAGTTTGTGAGGAATGCTTGGGGGAAATGATGCACGGGCTAACTGACCCATTCAAGTTCGACGCTTGCACATTGCATCACCAAGCCACAGTCAAAGCAAATGGCTATTATGCAGTTATAATGAAATAGCAGTTATACATCCACCCGGTCGCATCCTAGTGCGCTGCGTCATAGGCAACTGCACTCCACTCAGTATCACACACATGGTAGTGGAGCGGTCCAGACAGAAGACTGTGGGAGGCCTGTAGCTTGTACAAACTGCAAAGTGTGGTTGCGCAACATCGAGAGCTAAGCACAAAGTTGACCATGTGGGTCCAAGTTTGGACAATTACGCAACACAACAAAGCCCAATATGGCTTTCAATAGCTGCGTTTCTCGCTCCAAGGACAGTGACCGCCTCACTCTGGGCCCACGTCACTCAAAATGCCGCCAGTTAACAAGCCCCCTAGCGCGATAAGTAGTGATTAGACACCGATGGTAAGCGTCCCAACCAGTTTAACTTAATCAGTCGGATTTTCCGTCTAATAATCCACTGCGTCCCAACAGTGTGCATCCGCCAGTGCCAATCGATAAGAACCATGATTCACAGACGGTGATGCTCCAGTTCTGAAGACGCCAGACTCTTCAGGTAGAATCAGTCAAGTCACTCAGCGGAAAACGAGAACAAATATCACCAGAATCTTGTACGTGGTCTATAAAACGGTAACAAGGGAGGGACTTCGGCGTATGTCGCTCGACTGGTGAGCTACATACTCAAACTGCCAATTCCATTGCTGATGGAGAAAATTCGGTTGCATATTACACATGCAGCGTACAGAGCGAATTTGGAGATGCAGCCTTTGTTACTTCAAAGACGGAACGTTACGCGATATCACAACACTTACCGTGTGGTAGGTAGGTTCAAATAGCCCGTGTCGACGAGCCCGAAGGTTGCACTCCTATAATATGGAGAAAGAGAGTGAAGTGGCCAGTAATGTGGTAAAGCAGATCTCAATGAAGTGTAAACACTCAGCACTAGTGAGCTTGATGGGTCAGCACTGCAGCTTATTGAACCGGAGCCTACGTACCCCTATTAGGTTGAGCACGGATTAGCTAAGTCGCGTCTCTGAGTTGAAATTGTGATAGAGTTCCGAGTATGGTAATACGTAGAATGTAGCCAACAACAATAATATCTGCAACTACGGTAGTGGGTTTGATCCACAATCTATTTACCCGGTAAACAGAGGATAATAAAGTGGAAGTCACAAAAACCTCTCGCATAATTACAGAGAGAAATAAGGTCTTGCAGAAGAACAGGGGTGGATATACAGTGTTACAATTCAAGATAAAAGCGGAACCAGAAGAGAGGTAAGTAGAATAAATATGGAAGCGAAACCAGTGCTAAGAGGAGACGCATGCGATGTGCTAACCAACTTTGCTTCGAATGTCGTACATTGTCTTTAGTTTCGTAATTTGATCATCCCTGGCAGCCCAGACTAGCTGCAGGTTCCAGTCTGTGAGGATGAAGTTGAGCTCTACTACGAAGGAAGCGATAGGAATTGCGCTAGTAACTGGAACTAGTCAGTGTAACTGACGATGCATGCTGCCCCGCAGTCACAGATCAATGTGGTGGGGACTACGAGGTCTGTCGACAAAAGAGTCGGATTTGTATGCGTAGCTAGTTAGCTGCCTGCACAATGCCCAGCACAGATGTACAAAAGGCTACTCGATTTGTACAGTAGTGCATCAGATTCCAGCTGCATGCGGGATTGCAAAACCTAGGCAAGGAAAGGAAGTCAAAATGTAGCAACACGATAGGACAGCCAATGAGACTGACCTCAAGTCCATGACACCGCCGCATTCCCCTTAACTGACTGCTACGGCGAACCACAGAGGGACACAAACGTTACTGTAACCACCCTTGGTCAGGTACAAAAGGAGCGTTCGACACCTAACGCAAAAGTAGTTCCCAGATTAGTTGGAAGCAAGGTCAGTGATGATGAATTGTTGAACACATTGAAAGCTCTCCTGTGTATAAGATGTTGTTGTCAGGATAGAAAAGACAAACAACTTGCAGTTGTCGCGTAAGAGCCCCACACGGCAAGCAGCTGGATAGCGCATAGGTAAGCGGAGCGCCAGACTGGCGTCTGCTTCATAAGATTGGGACATTAGATTGAAGGTCGATGAGAGCATGTTAAGCGACCTACCTCGCCGGCAAGAGCGACCTAGTGTGTGGTACACGTCTCGCCTTCTAAAATGACACAGAACCCATCAAGCAATGACTGATACTTCAGCTCCATCGCAATGAGGCTGGACCTTACCGTGGTGCGATGGTTTGTGTGCCTAAGTGATCCATTGAGCTATACTGGGTGGTGCTTTTGCACCTTCAGAGCCACTCATACCACATTGGTCAATGGTTAGAGGCAAGACAAAATCAGCCTCCTGGTCCTCCAGGTTGGGGGTTGGAATGAGGGTGGCACCTTATTCCTTAAAACGGACTCCTTGTAGTCCAGTGCCAAACCCGCTGCCTTGCGGCCAGGTTTTTGAACCAAAGGCTTTGGTTGAGAACCCTAATCGTTCTCCTGTCTAGGCCTTGGCAACCTGACAGTATCCTGCCCACGCAATACAATGAATCTTTCTTCAAACAAATTTCTGATGCTCTGGCCACCGCAGAGGATAATCAACGGTGCCCTATCTGCTGCATCGAGCAGGGTGGATAGGGGTTTGGATGCTACTGCTCAAGCCTTCCCATCTTCTTATTCCCCATCTTGCACTTTTTCACCCTTATCGTCCTGTTCCAGCTTCACTTTTATCCCCCCAGTTTTCAACCCCCTAATTCTCGGCCCTCCCCCACCTTGCTTCAATAGTCGCTTGTCTTTTAATTTCAACTCACAGGTGAACGCAGAGCGTCATTCCTGCACTGTCAACAGGCCCATATCCAAGCAAGCGGCCCATTCCAGTTCATCGGCTCCCATTTGGAGCCCTCGATCCTCCTTCAGAATGGCATGCCTCAATGTTCGCACATTGCTTCAGATCGGTCAACAGGCAGCACTTGCCCCGAACATTAGAGACCCTATCGATCGATATCTGCTGCTTATCGGAGACCCGCCTGCAAGACTCGAGCTCTGTACTCACTCTGCGATCCCCTTCAGGTGCCACTAGCAGCACTTTCTCATTGCGCCTATCCGGTGACGATGCAGCTTCGAGCACCGGCCAAGCCCGTGTTGGTATTGCCCTGAGTCCCCGGGCTGAAGCTGCTCTGGTTGATTGGATTCCAATCAGTAGCCGGATGTGTGCGGTCCGATTGGCTAGCTCGTTCAAAACTTCGAAGTCGCGTGGGACTAACAGGTGTCTATTCGTTATCGCTGCCTATGCACCGACAAACTGTAGCGATGACTCGGTAATAGACGACTTCTATCGTCAACTGAACGAACTCCTTCGCCACAGAAGAAGCTCGGACACCGTAGTGCTGGCTGAGGATCTGAACGCTCAAGTTGGAAAATTATCCACAGATGAGCTGCATCTGGGAGGCCAACGTGGTATAGGCTCCCGTAATGATAACGGTGAGCGGTTACTTCATTTGTGTGAGGATGCTCGCTTATTTCTTGCAAGCACAAATTTCCGACACAGCACCCGCCGGAGGGTGACTTGGCGCCCACCAGCCTCGAACCAGCTATGGACGCAAATCGATCACACTGCTATCAGTTACTGCTGGAGAGGCTGTGTCCAGAACTGTCGCTCGATTTGGAGCACAGGTGTTGACACCGATCATGCACTTGTATGTGCTGACCTGCGGATGCGCTTTGGCGGACGCCCACGACGATGTTGGGACCGCATTGACACCGGCAGACTGGTGAAGCCAGCTGTTCTGGACGCCTATCAAATTACGCTGTCATCCGAGTTGGATAAACGCTCACTGGATGCAATTGAAGCTCACTGGTCTCATATGTAACAGGCCTTACTAGCAGCAGGCAAATCCTCATGTGGTATGTCTAATCGCCAACATGGACATTGGGTCTCTTCACAGTCTCTGGAACTTACAGATGCTCGCCGGCATATTCCGGCTGGAAGCGAACACAATGAAACTCGCAAAGTGCTTCAGGCGAAACTCCGTGCTAGCCTGAAGAGAGACCGCGAATCCTGGTGGTCTCATCGTGCAACAGAGATGGAAATGGCCGCTGCCCTTGGTAACCATCGTGAGTTATTCCGTCTGATACGGGAAACGGGCAGCAGGAGACCTGGTGGTAGTGAAACTATACGTGACGAGAGTGGACAGCCTATCCACAACTTATCAAAACGCTTATAGCATTGGGCTGAGCACTTTGAAAGGCCATTTAATCGGTCGGAATTGTTAGATTTCTCGCCGAGCAGTGATCGCCCTGCTCCGTGGGCTGTTCCTTTGGATCCATCCTCTCGCTCAGAAGTCGAACATGAGATCAAACTGTTGAAGTTAAATGAAGCCGCGGGACCTGATGACCTTCCTCCAGCTCTCTTCAAATTCGGGGGACCTGCTCTTGGGGATGATTTACAAAAGTTACTAGTCAAAATGTGGGAGCAGGAAACTGTCCCTACCGATTGGAGCCGCTCCATCATAGTCCCAATTTTCAAAGGAGGCTCACGATCGGAATGCGGCAGCCATAGAGGAATCAGTCTGATCTCCATCGCCTCCAAATTGCTTGCCTCTGTCATCCTTCACAGACTGACTGGCACTCGTGAAAGCCAGATTCGCGAAGAGCAAGCTGGATTTCGTCGAGGTCGTGGCTGCATTGACCACATCTTCACCTTGCGTCAGTTGTTGGAGCACCGTCACATAAATTGGCGGCCCACCGTTGTCGTGTTCCTCGATATCAAAGGTGCATTCGATTCGGTGGATAGACATGCACTTTGGGACTGTCTACTCAGGAAAGGTGTACCTGAGAAATATGTGAATATTATCCGAGCATTATATGCGCGTAGCTCGGGCAGAGTGACGGCTTACGGCAAGTTGTCGTCGCCCTTTAATATCTCCAGCGGCGTGAGACAAGGATGCCTGCTGTCACCTTTCCTCTTCAACTTCGCTGTTGACGAAGTCATGGAAATCGCGTTCACAGGACACGACTTAGAAGGTGTGGAGCTACTCTCAGGAGAACGACTTCTTGACTTGGAGTATGCTGATGATATTGCCCTGATCTGTGACAGCTCACAAACGTGCCAAGCGGCACTGGACAGATTAGCACTAGCTGTCCGTCACTTCGGGCTTTGCTTCGCACCCTCGAAGTGCAAAGCGTTCCTCCAAGATTGGTCTGGACCGCCTCCTACGCTGACCCTTGGTGGGGATCAGCTAGAAGTCGTTCAAAATTCAACTACCTGGGAAGTTGTATCAGCGCCCGTGGGATTGAAGATGAAATCACGAATCGTATAGCAAAAGCTCGGGGCGCTTTTGCTAACCTTCGCCACTTATGGCGCCGGCGCGACATCACTCTCACCCTGAAGGGTAGAGTGTACAATGCAGCAGTACGTTCGACCCTACTGTACGGTTGTGAAACCTGGCCGCTTAAAGCAGCGGACCTGAAGAGGCTAGTTACGTTCGACCACCGGTGCCTTCGTAATTTAGCTCACATCTGGTGGGAACACCGCGTGAGAAACGAGCGTGTTCGACGCCTTGTTTATGGCACAGGAAAAGGAAATGAACCGCTCAGCACCCTTATTTCACGCATCAGGCTCCGATGGCTCGGCCACGTGTTACGCATGCCAGCCCACCGACTCCCGCGACGTGTGTTGTTTGCGCGCCGGGGGTGTGGATGGAAGAAGAGGAGGGGTGGCCAAGCGATGACTTGGTCCAGAGGAATGAAGGCCCTCACTTCTGAGCTGGCCTCGGTTGGAGCGTCTCGGCTCCCTGGTTGGGGTCCGAAAGACGATGAACACGTTTGGTTGGACACACTTGCTGATTTGGCTAGGAGCCGACCTCAGTGACGTTCGTGCTGTGAGTTTCTTTGTCCCACCCCATCCCTCTTAGCCTCCCCCTCCAACCACGATCTCATTATTTAGCCTTATATAATTTTGCATAATAATTTTTCTTTGGGTGCACAGTAGCCGGCTGGTAGCTTACCGGAACGAGGCCCATCCGTTACCGGTAGCTCAGCCAGCTTGCACCAGTTGCATTTTTTCTCCTTTTTTCTATGTATTGCGGCACAGTAGCTGAGGTGTTCCCCACCTCTAGCTAACGTGTATGATGATGATGATGATACTTCAGCTCAAATGGACTTCCAGACAAAACTTCCATGATTACCATCTTGGGAACGATTACGTTAGAGTGGT